TTCCTCTTTGCTGCCCGCGTGTGACCCACACTGCATAGATGTCACAAAAACACTATCAATTTCATAATGCCGGCTTGGAGTTTAGGTTTTGGCCCCCAAAAAAATAAAAACAATTCAAATATTATTGTTACTTTAGAATTTGAATAAAGCCGAAGGATTTTTTGTGATTGGAGGAAGATTTTCCTCCCAGAGAGAAATAAAATAATTTTAGCAAGATTGCAGTGAAATGTAACCCAAAAAAAATGTTGAGAATAATTTTGTTGAAATAAAATTTTTTGTATATTCATTTAAAAAATAATACAAAAATTAATTAATTAATAATTATAACATCAAATGAAGTATAATGAAATGAATAAGAAGGCTTGTATCAAACACCTCTGCAGTGCCACCTTGTTTAAGATTTAAAAATATTTTTATTTAGGCTGGATATGAAAAAGTTACTGGGAGTGTGAATGAGTTGACAAAATTTAAACTAGATATATAAAGGATATGTTTGGAATAGCTTATAAAAAAATTAAAATAACATTTTCCTTACAAAATCTTTTTAATCAGTGTAAAGTTCACCCAACAACTTAAGCGAAATTTTGTGCAAGTAACATTGGCAAGAAATACCCGTTTAAATTTAAATTTTAAAGGCATCGAGAAAAATAAATATATAAACATAAATATCATCAATAGTTATAATAAAATTCACAAAAAAAAAAAGGTAATTCTGGAGAACACATGTAATAGTAATTACAGAGCGCACGTGAGAATGGCGGGGCTTTGCTTAATCCACAACCGTCAAACGGAGACTTACCTTCCCATTCGGCCTCTGGGGGACTGAACGACGCTCATTGGCAAGGGTTAGATTCAAGGGGTCCTCAGGTTCCCTCTGATGATGCTACAGGTCAGTATAATTCTTCTATGGATGGTCTGGGACATCGCACTCCTTCACGAACAAATTAGAACGGTGGCGTAGCTGATTCTCTACCAAATGGTTTTGATCTGAATATGGGTTTTGCAAACTTTTCATACAAAAAAGCTCGCCCTTGCGACATATGACTATAAGGATGATTGAGAAACAAAAAATGGGCAGTGTTCTGTTGCTGATCAAGCTTTCGCTAGGCTACCCTCTATTTTCTTTATGTTTTCTGGTTTGTTGACTTAGTGAGTTGCGGTCTCTGTTATGTCTTTTTTGGCCACTTGGGGAGCCGTGTTCTATTGACCACTGCATAAGCTGGAGAATCTGACGTATGGCTTTTGCCATTGCATTGAGGGTTTTAACTTTTAACTCTCTGGTCAGTACCCTTGCGGTACCCACTTTCACCATTTCGAAGAAGGTTCTTAATTGGTCTTGAAGATGTTTTCATCTTATGCTCGAGGGTCTTCACTCTGTCAGTCCTCTCCTTCCTCTGTTGTTGGCATATAGATGGCAGGGATCTGTCCATAAGCTTTGTGCCACTGCCATGGAGTTGCGATTGCTGGCTTTCTTTCTTTCTTTCTTCTTTAGTTTCTCTGATGTTGTCATCTTTATGCTTTCAGTTTGTTTGCTTGTACTGACCTTTCACTAATGAATGAATCGTCTTTTTCTCAAAAAAGAACAAAAGTGGATATGGTGGGGAATAATATACCTTAGAAGGGAAGAACAAAATCAGGAAGTGAAAAATGTGGTGAATAATGAGGGGGCATACATTTTCAAAGGCTGTAGTACATTAGAATATGGCGACGAAGCAACCGGCATTATTAGCCGTCGCAGCCTCAATCCTGTGACGCTCCTAGTTTCGTACAACACACCATTGACATATTTTCCCTGACTCATACGGCCTCATTTATACTTTTCTACTTTTGTTTCTTTAAATTATGTTTTGGACATGTTATATATGTGCGTGTCTGTAAAAGAGAGTGGGCGCATGACAAAGAAGATCACCAGATGCCGATAAAACATGTGAAATAGATAGTTTTAAGGAAGTGAGAGAAAATCCTTTGGTCAAAAAAAAAAAAAAAGGAAGTGAGAGAAAATCACTAAGAACTCTCGATAAAACTATTGAACAAAGCCTTCTAATTAAAGATATATCTAAATTTCTTGTTGTTGATGAAGCACTATAAAATTGTGTAATTCGCACAACCAACACATATAATAGTGAAATACTCCCTTGAATTTTATTTATAAAATGCTTTTTAAAAATAATTCTTAATTTAAAATATAGGACACATTAGAATAATTAAATTATTTTTTCTAATTTTATTTTTTATTATTATATTATTATTTAAAACTAAAGATAAAAATAAAAATATATTTTATTTTTTTATCATATTAAAAAATATTATTTTTTAAAATATGTGAAATAGTTAAAAATATTTTATAATAAGATATAACTGTTATTGTTTGTGTTGTAGGGTGGCATGTGTTGTTGAGTTTTAGATTTTTAGTTGGTTTTATCATATATTCTGTCTAGATGTATACAGGGAAATAATATTCGGGTTGGCAAAAAAGAAGAAAGTAATTGAACGCTAAGACATTCACTTAAATAATAACAACTTTTTTTTTTTTTGGAGATAATTGACGTGACTTTTGAAGTTAAGATGAAAACAGAGAGATTCCATTATTAGACTCCACAACTCGCTTATAACATGGGAGTAGTAATTACGTGTGAACAAGAGCTTCATTATCACTTGAGTATCTTGAATTAATTGAATATTTTCGTTTGACTAACTAAAAAATAATGATTAAGAGTTAACAATTTCCTCACCAGACTGCTTCAGCAAGCAGAGGCCGCAAGAAACGTATAATATGTAATTATTATGCAATACTCCTTCCGTGGCTATATTTAAGATATTTTAATACAATCTTGCATATTAAAAAGATTTATCATTTATTTGAACTTACGTAAAAATATAATAATTTTTTAATTTTATCCTCTAATAATATCATAATTAATATCATGATGGTTGTAAAAAAAATATAAAATTAATAATCTATTTATTTTTTAAGCTAAAGATAAAATTATTTAATTATTTAAAAATATTACTGTCACCTCTTATATTTAGAGGCAAAATACACTTTTAAAAAATATTTTACATACAGAGACGAAGAGAGTACTTCTTTGTTTAAAAATAATTCCATGAGGTGCTAGAAGAAAAAATTATGTACATAGCTGTTTCTTCTCTTGTTTTTTCCCCCTTGTTTGCCACAAGAAAATATGTACCTGGCTACTCGCCCGCATCAAAATTTTGTCTCGTTGGCCATCATACAAATTGTTAGCTAATTGACGCCAATATTAACTGTCAACTACATATTTTGAATTTCTAATGTTGAATTATTTTGAATCAATTTCAGAAAATTAAAAAGGGAAACCTCTTAAGCTTAAGTACCCATTCCAATGGTGATCAAGAGGAAAAACCATTTTAAATAGATGAAAGTCATGAAACTAAATGCAACGGGCGAAGTCAAGACCTCGAGTAAGTGAGTGTAAAATAATTTAATAAAAAGTAATATTTTTTAAAAAATAATAATCATATCAGGACTAAAATTATGATGGTATAAATAATTTTATCATCATGTTTTATTTTAAAAATTATATTGAATAAATTGATATGGTCTTTTATTGTAAACATACTCTTCATATCTTAACAAGATCAATAAATATTATATATATGATAAGTTTTTAAAAAAGAAAGAAAGTTTACAAAAATTCATAGATTTTAGCTTTAGAAAATTTACTTCCAAAGCAAATACCCGCGTCTAGTTTGTCCACCAAGATTGACATATGGTTATGGTCACTCATTTATATCCCCTCGATCTCACGTATAAGTTAGAATAACTCTTTCACGGGATTAAAAAAAAAAGTTATAGTTATTTTTCCTTATTTTGTTTAACGTTGAATACTGTTTTCCTAAATATACAAATATGTCATGTTTATTGAATAAGCAAATCCAAATATTTATGTTTATTGAATTAATCACTTCATGTAAGCTATTACCACAAGAAAGATGATTTGCTTTTCATTTTTGTGGGTATTTTCGTAAAATTCTAAAGAGGCCAGGCATAGCTGTAAAAATTCTCTTTAAATCTTTTATGAATATATAAAAAGAAGGGTGTGATTACAACGGATGATGCGTCTGTGTCACGTGTGTATATTCTGTCAGCAATTTACGGCCTTTGAGATGTTAAAAACAAATTATAGATATTTTTCAATTAAATTGCTACATGTATATGCACAAGAATTGAGATTCAAATATCTGATCACTTATTTTACCATTCATGTCAATTTATGCTGGCCATATATCTGTAAAAGGACCAAAAACGCTTCTTTCACCGCTTAGATGTACATAAATAACAAGTAATTAATTAACTACCATATTGTAATCCAAGTTGGTTAAATGAACCCGCGTAATTAGCCAATGAGATAAGTTACTATAAAACTGCCACGATTCACATCCATGACATCATGCTTAACGCATCACGTATTAAACTAAGCTTAAGAAATATATCCATGCCATGGGCTCTCATTTTTTTATTTCTTTTACTTTTCCTACGTCACATGCATCGCCCTTCTTTTTATTTTTATTATTATTTAATTAATTGTGAGGGGCTTTAAACTTTAATCCTTTTCGCACCCTGTACTAAAAGTTCCTTCTCCCCCCATCAAAAACACAGATAAAACAAAAAAACCCAGGGAGACTGGAATCAAATGCACTAATCATAGATCATACATAACAAGGCACCCAAATGGAATACTAATATAAATATATTATAAATCCATGCTGAATGATAATGATGATAATAAGGGGTAACAAAATATCATGTGATCCATATCAATATGGGCAAGGACAGAAACAGGGAGAAGTGCATATATATTAAAATGAAATGAAAAATAATTTTATTTATAAATCTCGTCGGACAAATTAAATTGCCCAGGGAAAAGGTCTTTGCGAGTGACGCATTAACGATTTATTTTTATTTTATTTTATTTTTTTGGTTGTTTCCAATAGCATAAATAAATGGTAGTTGTATGTTGTAGTGTCCCTATGGGCAAAATAAACTAAACTGCTCTATTCTTCCTCCTCAGTCTTCTCTTTCTTGTTCTCCCCCAGACCACCCCACCACGTTCATCTGCAACTTTTCTTCTCCTCCCCTTTTGACCATGTCTTCTTCAGCGATGACTTCTCAAGGCGTGGTCTTCGCCACCGCCATGGCTCTCTCCGGCACCGTCATCCTCATCGCCCTCCGTCTCCAGAAATCTCTCCCTCCTCTTCTTCACACCCCTCACTCTTCCCCTCCGGTCCTGCGATCTTGCATATCCTCTGGTAAGCGCACAACTTCCTCTGTTTCACACGCATTTACATTCAATCAATTTTCAAGATTCGCTCTTTACTTCGTTCCTCTGTCTCTCCTCTGATACAAATACTGGGTTTTGAAGCAGAGAGGAAGAAGGGGCAGAAGAAGAAGAAGAGAGTGCATTTCGCCGAAGATGTGGTGGATTCAAGGACAGATGGACAAGAGTTCAGGAGAAAGCATCGCGTGAGTCACAGTTCTGTGTGTTCGAACTCTGAAGTGAAAGTGGAAGAGACTTGTAACGGCGTGAGCGAGGTCAGAGGAATGCCGGCGAACAGAAAGGCCCTCTATAATGGAATTCTCAGAGATCGTGTGGCTCCACGACGATTGGCTTACTCTTACTGATTGGATTTTCTGTGAATAATTTTCTCGGGGTTATCCCTCTTCCTCCCCCCCCCCCTTTTCCTATAATTATTTTCTTCAAGGATGGGCTCGATCATTTCCTCTGCAGAAACTGGAAATTAGAAGCAGAGTGATGGGTCGTCGTAGTTACAGGCTGACACAAAATTAACGGCCATGTGTCTTCTAGTTTACCGGTTTTTTGTTGATATTTTAGGGTAATTTCATTGAGATTTGGGTTATATACTTATATTCAAAACTACTTTTAACTCGCGGTTATTATGCTCTGGCCTGTACATACGATAATTGTTGAAGTGAAAAAATATATATTATATCATGGTTTTATTGTTATGTTCCTTTCTCTTTTAGTGGTAAGTTTCTCTTTTTTACCCTTTTTGGTTTGGGGAAAGACATGGTTAAAGGATCATTTTCATTATGCACAGAAAAAGTTGCTAATGGCGTGGTTAGACTGCAGTGGTGAAAATCCGCGTCGTCACAAGCCATTATTTTATGTTTTTTCATCGGTGTTTGTGAGGAAGGTGGGCCAATTACGGTTCTTCTTGTGCTTGTCATGCTATGATAATTGTGCCTAGGATCCGAATTTTTTATGAAGAATTTCATTGAAATTTTTTGGATGTGATATAATTTTAATTGAGTCTTAACAAATTTTAAAATTTTATACCATGTTTAGAATATTAAAATGAAATAAATTATATCTCACTTAAATGATTAAGATGCCTTTTAATTATAATTAGCGTGATGGATCTAACAAGTCAATTTTCAGTTTTTATAAATAATATTAGTGAAATAATATTAGTGGAATGATAAATCAAGTTATATAGGTATTACAAGTAATATTAATATTACTAGAATAAATGTAACCTCTTATTATTGTCATAATATTACCAATAAAAATGAAGGTGAAATATCATTTTTTGAGATTCAATTTAAATTATGCCACATTCAAGGGACTTCAACAAAATTCTCCCAATTTTCCATCACAAAATTGAGTAACTTTATGCAGAGTGTTTAAAAATAAATATAAAGAATGAAATATTATTTATATAATTATAGGAGAATTATAATTAGGTCTCACAAAAAAAAATTAATTACTATAAAGTCTATTAATAATTAAATTAAATTATATTAATAATTATTAATAATAATTTTATAACAATTAATTTTTTTATATGAGAGTTTATTGTAATTTTTCTTGTGATTATTGGTGCTTCTTTAAGAATGTAGAGAGACTGTATCCGTGAACGGCCTAGTGTGAACGGCTTTTTTCAGGTTCTCCGAGTAACACAAGTAGAAATTTGAATAATTGACACTGACAGTGACTTGAAGAAACTGTACTCAATTAAAGTTACATTCGCCATCTTGATTCACGAAATTAATTTTACAATATTCTTTAGTCGTTAATTTGAACAATTCTTAAGCACTGATTTCAACTTTCTCGAGATTCTTTTATTGACATGCCTGCATGTCTATCATCATCGCATATTGAAAAAATAAACAATCCAAGTAATATGACTTATTTCCACTGTCAAAAAAAAAAAACTTTTAAAGGTAACCATTTTGTCAATGAATTTTTTTGTTATTGTCAAAAATTATTAACGATTAAATATTTTATGATAACTCTTTAACAATAAAAAGTTACTGCAAAAGTCATTTAAAAAAAACAATTATCTCATGTCATATCAACACCTCCTCATGTCACGTCAATTAAAACCTTATACTATATCAGCTATCACGTGTACCAGTTCTTATATTGCCACATCATTCCACCATGTGTGTAACACATCATACCACATTACTTGACAACTTGTGCCACATGCCATATCACATATTAATTGTGAAATGTACCTGAGTCAGAATTGGAGCCCATGACCTCCCAGGCCATAAGTTCTCCTTTTTTTTTTTCTTTTGATAAGCAAAGAGGGTAAGAGTAAGTCCTCCTTTTTAATGCACATGCGAGTATTATATACGAAATTAAATATATATTATTTAACTACATATATATATAATAAATAATATATTATTAGAAATATATACATATATATTATGTTTTATTTTCATCTATTAATATAATAAAATAATTTATATGAGTGTGTATATATATTATATTTTTTATAAAATTATTTTTTTGGAAAATGAACTTAAAAAGAAATAAATTTTAAATATTAAATAATTTTCTTATAAACGTTTTAACCAATTCTTAAATTTTATTTTTATTCTTAAATGAAAATAATTAAGTATGTAATTTATTTATAAATATGTATTATATTAGTTTACATTAAATATATATCTTTTACTTTTGTCCATATTTTTCTTAAAAATTAATAAATAAATGATTAAACTTGTATCTTTTCCCAAGTTAAATGCTTCTCTTTCTTTTATTAAAAATAAATTTTATCTACAATTTTTCAATTATCTTAAATATTTAAATAAAAATTTATGTTAATCATATAAATTTTGTTAATAGTCACTTTGAATAATTATTCTTTATTATTTTTGAGCTAGAAAATGGGTGGACATGGGATAAATTAAAAGTAGATGTTAGACAAAAAAATTTAAATTAAAAATCTAAGTGGATATTTTATAATCAAAATATAAAGAATTTTATTTTGACTCAATCTAGATTAGTTTGGATTGCCACTAAAGTATTTTTAACAGGGTCAATTTCAAGATAATGGGAAATACTTTCTAATAACTTCAAAATTTAAAATAAATAAACTTTAATAAGTTTATATGTAACATTCGAACAATTTAATCATGATTAATTAACTTAATAAGTATAATTAGTGAATTTGATGCGGTGTGTGTGGTTAAAGCAGCCTAATTAATGAATTTGGCTTTGATTTTAGCTTAAGATGTGGGTCCAAATTGAAATCAGGCCATCTGAGAATAAAAAGAGGAAGAAAAGGTAAAAGAAAGCCCTCTATGCCACATACCACATAGAGGCAATTGAGTATGATTTGAGTTTCTTTATGCCACGTGTCGCGGCGGGAGGCGCCGCACGTTCAAAATCTACTTAAATCAATTCATGTCTATGTGAGAAAACATAGAAGAGTAAAGGGAGAAATCAAAGAGCACGATTGGGCTTTGCTAGGGCATATATATTGGGACCTTTAAGGATAGTTTAAAGCTTTCCAACACCAAGGTAAGTAATGTATGCCATCTTCTTCTTTTCTCCACCATATTTATGAATAATTTCACCAATAATTCAAATATTAACATAAATTAAATAATCAAGTTTACAATCCTCATCCAATAATAAACCCAAAAAATTTAACATTAACAAATCAAACATTTTGAGTAATTTGAAGAACAAGAATCGGATGATCAAACACTATCATAGGATACCCTCACACTTGACACTTATTTTCATTAATACTTGACAGTTTTTAATGATCAAGTAGTAGTGCGGCATATATTACAACCAACTTTACTTGAGGATTAAAAATTGTCAAGTATTCTCTACTTATTTTATTTATTTTTTATTTTAAATAATTATCAAATATGGAGTGTTTTATTTAAATAATCTTGTGGTAATAAAAAGTAGAGCACAACAGACAGAGTAGACATCATGTATATATCAAACCGAGAATCAAATGTGCAGCATGTTAAGTAGTCAACAACGTTTATACAACTTTAACATTCTAATATTATTTATGTATATGTATGTAAGTAAGTATTTATGTATAACTTAACTTGATCATAATTAATTTTTTAAATAATTTATAAAAAAATTATAAAAAAAATAATTCATTTATAGTTTATATATAACTTAGCTTGATTATGTATACTGCCTTAATAAGATCATCATTAAAAAAAATCCATAAGATTTTTTTTGAAATATAACTATCAAAATAAGATCATTATTAAAATATTAGCTTAACAAGATTATTATTTTTAAAAGTAATCATTATTGATCTTGATATAATTTATTTCTTATTCTATATATAATACTTTTAGTGGTAATAAATTTTTTTCACTAAAAGAAATTATGTAAATTATTTTTTATAAAAATATTTTTTAATTTTTTTAGGAAAATAATTTTGGTAGCAACATGTAATATTACAAAAATTATTTTTAATTTTTTAATTATGTTTTATAAAAATACTTTTAGTGGTGGCAAAAAATAATTGCATAAACTATTTTTATTTTATTAATTATTTTTTTATAAAAATACTTTTAGCAGCAATGATTTTTTGCCACTAAAAATAATTACATGACTTATTTTTAATTTTTAATTAATTTTTATGAAAATACTGTTGGCAGTGACAGTTTGTCGCGGGTAAAGTAATTGAATAAATTATTTTTAAGTTTTTAATTAATTTTTATAAAAATACTTTTGACAATGCCAAATTGTTGCTATTGAAAGTAATTATATAAATTATTGTTTATTTTTAATTATTTTTTAAAATATTTTTGGTAACGACAACAAGTGATTATATGAATTATTTTTATTTTTTAATTATTTTTCATGAAAATGCTTTTGATGGTGACAAACTGTTATTGTTAAAAGTGATTTTTACTGACGATAATTAATATTGCTGCTCTAAAAGGGAATCTTTAGGACATTTAAAAGTTACTGTTAAAAATATATTTTTAGCTTTAAAAGTCAAATTTTAACTATAACTTCTAATTGTCACCATTTAAAGTAAACCTTTGATAGTAATTTTTTTTATCATTGTTAAAAATTATCACTAAAAATTATTTTTTTATAGTGTTCTTAGAGAGCATGATGCAAAAATATTTCCCAAACAGGTAAACAGAGTACCAAGAAATAGAGTAATTTCTTAGGGATTTGTTTGACATTATATCACTTTGCAAAATGACTTTTTGACCCTCTGAACAGTAAAAAGAAAGCATGCTTAACCCGAATTGGCTTGGCCGTGTAAATCTGTTCATCTCCTTTTGTTTTTTTTATGACTTCCTCCAGAAACACAATATTTTTGATCAGTACACATTTCAACCCAAACGTTTATAACTTTTCCGGAGTACAGATTTTTGTAATTTTTAATTTAAACATTATAATTATGTTTAACGTCAAAATCCATTCGCATTAAATTTTTAGATAATTATTAAATTTTTAAAGTTACTATTACCAAATAATAAAAATATTTTTAAATAAGCTATAAAATATATTTAAAAAATAAACAATTAAAATGATAAAATGTAATCTTTAAAAATATAGTAAAATACAATGATCTCTATTTCATCTAAAATTACAGAGACCTCTATCTTTTTTTTTTGGAAAAATTATATTTTAATTTAATCTTTAACACAGTTTGGAATATTATGTTAAATTCTAAAATACTTATTTTTTATGTTTAA